CTCTTCCTTGCTGGCGATAAAGAGCCAGCTGATTAGCTAACTGTAGAGAGATATGCGGCACAGGTTTTGGGGAAAACTTAAAGAAAACAAAATTTTCCATATATTGCATGTAGATTTTCAACCAAGCTATCTGACACTAAGGCTTCCATGAAATACTTACATTTCCATTCAAGGTTTTCCCCATGTAATATCTATTTGCTTATCTTCTAAGTGACAGTTGTACATGTAGGAACTACACAGGAGAAAGGTTAAAATTACCCTTTATTAAACTCTTTAAAATTCACAATGCGTCACTTGACACTAATACACTACTCCTAACTTGGGTGGTAACTCAAATAACAAGAACTAAACTAAAAATTCGAAGATGTTAACAAGTAGTAGAAATTACTGTTGTAGTAGAAATCAGATAAATCCTGTTACTTAAAACCATGTCAAAATTTAGTGGTAGCAAAATAATAGCTGTTATGCCACGTAAACCAGCAATAACTGCAGAAATAAAAGCTCACACTACAGAGGTGACGGAATTGCCCAAACTCTCTAATCACTTTCCTTCTAGAACTCGGTACATTCAAAAGCCATTAATTCGGACACCCATAATCCAGAATGATCTATAATCCGGACCTCAAAGTTACAAACTTTCTGCGCATGCGTCGCATTGACGTAAGACCTTTACGGCTGCGAATATGCGTGTGCGCAAAATACGTTTATGAATGCGTGTTTAATGTATAACGGACGGTATAAGCTAAGCTAAAATTATCTAATTCAGTTAATGTTGCAGATTGTGCAGATTGTGTTTGAATTGGATTCAGCTTATTATTTTTTGCAGACTGTTGGAGCAATTTTATAAAAGTAAGCTTGAACTTTCGATTATGTCAAATAGAATTTCTGATATATATTTACTAATATGTAAAGGATCTACAAAGCAAAAATATGTTTTAAAGTCCATTAAACAAAAAGTGGAATTGCTGCAAAAAATGAATAAAGGCATATCCTTTGTTTATCTAAACTTTAATGTTTGTTTATCTAAACTTTGTTTATCTTTAACGCCGCAGCACACAATGAATTAGAAGTTGATCTGTCAGCACTATTCTTATCTTTTGGGAAGATGTTTTTTTTTTATTTGGCTTATAATTCCTTACTAAATGTAGTATTTCATCTCGATGTATTCCGTCTTTGATATGATTTAAATCAAATTCCTCGTCATTATAATTCGCTTCCGATAGCAAAGAAAGTGACAGAGGTTATTGAAAACGAAAAAATTTCGATTGACAAATTACTCGGTATTCTCAACACAGCAATTATAGGCCTTGAACAGTGGAACTTTGTAAATGAACAAGAAATTATGTCTGTTTATAGAGTTAAAGAGAATGTATTATCACATAAAAAAACGAAGAAACTTAAACAACTTACATTGAAAGAAATGTTAATAAAGTAAACAAATAAATATTAAGCTTGCTTTTTTTTTTTTTTTTTTTTTTTTTTTTTTTGTAAATTTTGATACCCTTTAGATCATAATTGTTCTTTATTTTATAAATTATGGTTTCATATTTTTAATTTTATAATTTCTGCATGCCATCTTACCAGGTTTAAACTATAATCCGGAAAAATCGATAATCCGGAATCGCCGAAGTCCCAACGAGTCCGGATTAACGACTTTTGACTGTATTTAAACTTTTTCTCCTCGAGGTAGAATTTGCATTCTTTCACATGCGCTATCAAATTCAAATATTCTGACATTGACAGTTAGAGGATTGAAGGCTTATAGGAAAGAACATAAATTAGATTGGTTGTTTAAAATATAGATCCCTACAACCAAAATCATATGAGATTCAAATAAATTAATAAATGGAGATAAGGATTTAACATTGGTAGTAAACACGGTGACATCAAAACTGACTGCTTTTGGAATTTGTGCATGGAATTTGCTCTTCATTATGAAAATGGAGCAAAATTTGGCAAGCTTGTATTCAAATTTCCTGGATGATGCAAGTCTCCAGTTACATCTTTGGTAAAGAGTAGAAACATAAATAACTGATTTCTTTTCTTATTGTGTTTATTTTCATTTTACACATTGTGCAGCTTAAAATAATGGATCCAGACTTTATCATCTCTGATGATTTTGTCTTAAAAAGGCATTTGGTACTATAGTGATGTAAATGTTGTTGACAAATGTATAAGTGTATTTGTTAATGCAATGTTGTGAGTGTTTGTGGAAACCATCTTGCTTATACTTTATGAAATCAAAGTTAGTTGTGGATAATTTCATAGGCAGAATTTTTAACTGGGTTCATAGCAGTCCTTACAAGTGCTTATAAGTCCTTATATTTGAAAATAAAATATAAAAGCCCTTATAGGTGCTTACTTTTTCTTTAAAGCACCTTTTTTTTTTTTTTTTTTTTTTTTTTTTTTTTTTTTTTTTTTTTTTGTTTGTTTTTGTTTTCAGTGCTTATTTTTTTGCTTTTAGTGCTTTTTTTTTTTTTTTTTTTAATGAACACACATTTTGTCCCCATACCAAAGCTGAAACTAAATAAACAACTTTTCTACCTCATATGGAACGTCGACTCGAGCAAACTCGAAGAGGTTCGCTAAAGGGGTCCCCGGTATTTTATCGCTAACCTGGTGTAATATTTAATAAATAAAGGTAAAACACAAAGCGTTAAAAAAGACCCATGGGCGTAACATGGAACGCGAGATGGTGAATCATACTCCCAGAAATATCTCTTCACCCCTTTCTGTGCATTAACATAACCTTTGATGTGCACGAGTACAGACAGGTGCACATTGCTCTATTGGTCAAAGAATTGCGAAAGTGATAGAAAATTCCAATACATCCCGCATTCTTTTGCTCCCACCCAATACTACCAAGTTTGAATTTCTATCAAGATTTTAATAATTTACATTCTCATTCCGCATGGTCAGTTCGTATTTGCATTTATTATGATTGGTATGCTTTGAATTTCTATCAAGATTTTAATAATTTACATTCTCATTCCATGTGTTCAGTTCGTATTCACGTTTATTATGATCGGTATGCTTATATTATGAGCATATATATGAATATTTATAATAATATATTTGCTGAAGTATACATAAACTTAAAAAATGGTTAAGTGTGTTTTAACACAGTTTTCTAAGGAATAATATTCGGAATGGCATAAATAAAATAATCAAATAGTCAATTTTTTTTTAACGAATGCATTATACCATACGGAAGGTGTGGGGGGGGGTTCTCCCCTTTCTCCGCAAAATCTCGAATATTGAAATCGTTACAGTTCACAGCAAGGCAAGCAACGGACTTTTTTTTTTGGTCACTTTCCAACCTGGATTGAATTGGATTAAAAGTTCTGAGGTCTACCAACCCAAGTGAAGAATGATTTTATTCCAGAAATTTAATGCAGTCTGTTCAAAATTAGAATGAAAAACACCCCAGATTGGCAAATCCCTTTATTAATCAATATGAGTACAGTAGGTATATCGCGTGGAGCGCGACTGTCCTGCTCAATGATAAATATACCACATGGACGCATGGCAGTGAAAACTGGACAAAGCAAAGGGGAGGTTTCCTTTATTTAGTTATTTATTCTCCGAATACCGGCAGCTGTTGATTCCAATTCCACAATATCACGTGCGGAAGAATTAAGGAGCACGTATTGCGCAATAACGTTTGCGATATTTCGGAGAGATAAAAGAGTTTTACTGTGCTTGCTAAGCAGATTATTTTTCAGTACCATTGGGCTATTTTTTATATGATGCACATATCAAAATGTCAAAAGCATTATTTAGCTGAAAAATTTAAAGAACGACTACAATCTATCTCTCTTCCTCTTTTATTCGGAATTTTCAGATATTCAGCAATTTCCGAGTATGCCGGGTAGTTAAGCTTTTATTGTTAAAGAATGACTGCATGAAGCAATTTCCTGTCTTCTGATTTCAGAAAAGTTCGTTTTTTACTTATTTTTACTTAAATTACTTTGCTTGCAATATCTGTTAAAGGAAAAGTGTTATACAATGAAAATTTAAGAAAATGTTCAGAATTTTGATTTAGGTTAAATTATTTGAATATTAATATGAGTGGAAAAATCAATTGTATTTATTTTTAGGTGCCCAGCTAATATAATAAAGAGGGCTTATTATTATTTATTTTCTCTATTTTGAACTGAAATTTCATCATTAAATCTTGTAATATAATTTAGTTCTGCATATTTTTTCCCCCTCTCATTGTAAACTAGTTCTGTAAATTGAACTGTTATTGAAAATTAAAAAAAAAGAATGTAATTGTTTTTCCATGGTTGAGTAATAATGCTCATTCTCTCTTAATAAATACTGAATTTCTCATATTTTAAATTTTTCTTTTAAAGTCTAATTTTTCTTTTAAGGTTATGCAGTTGCATATAATGTAATTAGACAGGTACTTTTTTTCTTTCTTAAAATGTGCTTGAAATGTGCTTATAGGTGCTTATTTTTTTAACTAAAATGTGGCTACGAACCCTATTTAACTAATTCACAGATAATTTTTCACTTTAGAAATATTCGTTTATCTGACAGAACCATTTTATGTGCATGTTTTTTATTGTAGCTGTGAATAAATATATATATGCCATGTATTTAACACTTTTTTTGTTGTGTATGAAACGTTTTTATATTTCAATCTGTTCGTAGACATTTTATTGCAGCCAAAAATGATTCCTTTTTGTGCTAAAAGTCTTTGATGAATTGTTGCACCTTGTACCCTTTCTGATCAAAGAAAATGGTTAAAAATTGTGCTTTGGTGCAAACAGTGGAGCAATTACGTTCAATTGTAATATAACTATGTAACTGATCGAGCAGCATCAAACTTTTAGAGAAATAATAAGATGAAAATCCTTTAAGGTCATGTTGTACAAACAGTTATGAAAATGCACTGCTAATAAATATTGGCTTTTGTAAAGTGCTGATATGTAAAATATTAAGGGTCAGTCTTGTGAATAATAACTCTATTTATTATTATTATTTTTTTATAGGTAAGAATGGAAAATACTTCAGTGTTAGGAGAAGATGTTATTGTAAAAGATGAAATGTATGTAAATGGTGGAAAAGTACTACCGCACAAAGCAATATCGGAATGTGTAACTGAGCCACAAGTCATTATGTAATATATTTGCATGAGGAATTTTTATACTTAATTTAATAATTTTGTATTCAATTTAAATGTGCCATAGTATTTCTTTTTCATCCAGCTTCATTTGGATGAAATATATTTTTAATAATTGATAGCAATTTAAATTACAAACGATGCATGCGAAATTTTCTAAAACCATAAGTTTATCTGTTTATAAAAGGCATATGAAGGCATTTCTTGAATGGCTTGGCTACCATGCTTTGGTGCAAGTAATGTTAAAACTTAATTTGTGAAAGTAATGTTAAAACTTAAGGTGCAGCTAATGTTAAAACTTAATTTGTTGTGAAAGTCTGCATTTGAAGTCAAAATATCTTTTTGAGTGGATTTCACTGCCTTTAATTTGTGCCTTTGATCTTTATAAGTGTACTTGGATGGTCAAGAATACAAAGTATTTGATCCAAAATCTTGTTTTTGCTTAAATGATCTCTTATAGTAGTGCTGATATAAAAACATTTTATTATCTGTGGAAAATACAACATTTTTAATTAAAATAAAGTATTTTTCAGAGATACTAAAAAACTTTAAATGAAATAAGCTATGTTTCATAGAATGAATTTCCTAATGCTAGAAAAATAATTCTTTAATAATTTTTTTTTAATGCAGGATGATCCTGAAGCTCATAAACTTGGGGTGGGGATGTATTTTGGTAGATTTACAATATAGAGTAATGAAGTTAGCATAAAATACATAAAATCAGTTTTCTAAGGAATTTTGTTACATAACTATTAAAATTATTATGTTTACCAGATGGCATTTCATCCATAAAAGAACACAAAATACTCGTAATAAATGATGATTATGGAGCCATTATTATTGAGATGAGCTTATGGACAATATAAACAGCATTTCTTTAGAAATCATTACTACAAACCTTTGCATAGCACTTTTCTACATTGCCATTGACCTAGGTCTTTAGGTAGCACTAATATAAAAATCATAGTATTTTAAGATCTAGTTTACTGTTCTGTTCATCTTGAAATTGATGGCTTATTATTTTATTTTCAGTTGTTGAGGTTATTTTGGAACTTGAGATTAAGAGAAAAGTAATATGATGCAGTGCTCAATAATGTGAGAAAAATCTCTGAAATTGTTACATAACAGTTCATTATAAATACTAACTTTTTACAGTAATAATTAAGGGATAATTAATTGTACAGTTTTAATTTTACAGTAATAATTAATTGATAACCAAAACCATTCAGAATTCCAAGACCACCATCAAAACAGGATATAATTGCAGTTAAAAATTTACACAGTAAAATTAGTGTCTGAAAATTTTATAATTACTTTTGTTTAATGTGTTAATTGTGTTAGCATCTGTAAATTCACCTGAAACTTTTAAACACTTATTGACATTTGGATCATCTTGTACTTGGATATTGTAGGTATTCTTCAACTGCATGTTTATGTATTTTGGAGAGCATTAGGGAATATAGTTAGCAGTACTTGCATGGAAGTTTCTTAAACTATGTATAATATTTTATAGTTTGAAATTAAGTTATTTGTCTTGCTTAGAAAATATATGAATGTTTAATTTTAAATTTAGCTGATTTCCTGCTGTGTACCCTATCTAAGATATTAATGAATTTGTTTAAGCAAACAATAAATTGGGATGGAAACCACGTGTTAAAGCTATGCAATCACACACCCAGAAGTTAAGCTATTTGAATAATAATTATTTTCACATCCAGAATTAGGGAAAAAGAGGGGAAAATACTCTTACTTTTTTGCATATGCCAAATGAAATTTCATTCATCATTTGTCTCAACATCTAGAAACTTAGACATAAATTTGTCTTCCATCCCTTTCCAAATACAAAATACATTCATCCTTTTTATTTGAAATTATGCCACTTATTAGGGATTTTCTCTCCAGATATCATAGTATTTGTGTTATATTTGTTTAACTTTTGCTTCTTTTATGGATAGATGCATATTAATTTTAATTTTATGTTATTTAAGAAGTTGTATTTCGTTTAAACATCATCTTCCTTTTTATATTGACAAGCTGCTCAGATTTATCATGTTATTGCTATTTTTCTACAACATATTCTTTCTCTTTGTTCACTTATTTAATTTGTGTTTTAATCACACTTCCCTCCCCAACTGTGAATTATTTTGTTGTTCAATGTATCTGTTTACCTATTCATAGTATAATAATGTTAATTATTTTATTGACAAGAAATTTCTGGTAAATTTTATTGAGGTTTTAAAGGTAATAAAATTAGATTGATATATTGAGCAAATGCCTTGTTATTGATTTTGGTATTATTAATGAATTTTATTTGTTAATTTTGCAAATATTAAGGAATACTTTTTGACACTCTTAAAGGAAATATATATATATATATGCATATTATTTTACTCTTAAATATGAAAAGTTAAATTGATATAATTTTTATGTTTAAATTGAATAATTTTTATGTTTAAGAGATATTAAGTTTTAATTTTGATGTTATTTTTTATTCCATTTTATTTATTATTTATTCATTTTTTGTCAAGAAATCAACAGAAAAATTATGTATATTTTAATAGTTAAAAGTTTTGTTCAGCAGTAGCTAAAAAGAGCTGTACATATTAAATTGTATTTCTTGTAGGGGACTTGCTAAGATTAACTTATTGGTGTAACAAATAACCTTGTATGTATGGCAAATATTGTTTTCTCATGTATTATATTTAGCCTCAGAACATTTAAAACAAATATTGTTGTGTTGTTTTAAGTTTGAGATGTTTTAATATTCATTCTTTAGTTTTACATATGCATTGTTAATTTTTTAGGGATTTGTCACTTTTAGTTTTACAAACTATTTTTTATTTATTATCATTTATTTTAAATTTTAATGGCTTAAAATAAGATTTTAACATTTCTAAACTTAGATGCAACTAATTTTAAAAATATGAACAGTATTACAAAAAGTTATTGAACTGTTAGCAGTTATTGAACTGCTCATTGTAATGAAATAATTGGCAATATAATCAAATTATAGCATTATATCTGTGTTTTAGTATGAGAAATAATTATACACATATATATATGTAAATTTTATTTTAAATCTTTTTATTTTTATATACCTTAGGCCTCTTATTGTTATGCTTTGATATCAGAGTCTGCCATGTGTTAGGGAAATTATTAAGGAATAAAGTAAGGGCTTATCTGGCATTCACAAATACAATAAACTGATTTTTCTGTAAGGAATAATTTTACTGTAAAACAAAAGTCAAACTGAAATAATGTACAGTTTTATCATTTAATTATACATTACTTTTATATATTAACAATTTTTTAATTGCAGCTGAAATGCTATCACTTGGATGTATCCTCTTCTGTCTTTCTTGCTGCTTTCAGGTTAACTCCGGCTGAGCTTCAGTTACAATTTTGTATGATTTGCTAGATATCAAATTGCATCACATTCATTTGGAATAATGTTTTTACCATCTGCAATTAAAACTCTTTTTTTATATAAAAGTTTGAAATATTGCTAATATTAATTGCTTTATGTCATGGTACTTACTGTTAAAATATATATAATATGGTATATAAATTGTGGTATATTGCATTGAATAGTTTCAGTTATAAAGTACAAAGTCTGTAATCCGGACTCGTCGGGACTTCGTCGATTCCAGATTAGGGTTTTTTCTAGATTATAGATCATCAATTTAAATCTGGTAAGATGGCATGCAGAAATTATACAATTAAAAATATGAAACCATAATTTATGAAATAAAGAGCATTATGATCTAAAGAATATCAAATTCAAAAAAAAAAAAAAAAAAAAAAAAAAAAAAAAAAAAAAAAAAACAAAGGGAAAAGAAAAACTTAATATTTATTTGTTTATTTTATTAAACATTTCTTTCAATGTAAGTTGTTTAAGTTGCTTCATTTTTTGTGCTAATATTTTCTCTTTAATTCTATAAACAGACATAATTTCTTATTCAGTTACAAAGTTCCACTGTTCAAGTCCTGTAATTGCTGTGTCGAGAATACCGACAAACTTGTCAATCGAAATTTTTTTGTTTTCAATAACCTCTCTGTCGCTTTCTTCACTATTGGAAGTGTACATCGAAACATTCTTTTGCTTTGTAGATCCTTTGGCAGCTCCAGAATTGGAAACTCTTTTTCACATAATTGAAATTTCAAGCTTAATTTTTATAAAATTGCTCTAACAGTCTTCAAAAAATAATAAGCCTGTATCCAATTAGAAGATTAAGGAACAACGCAATCGGCAACATTAACTGAAATGCCTTAGATTATAAAGATAATTTTAGCCTAGCTTATACCATCTGTTATACATTAAACGTGCATGCGTAAAGCATAAAAAAAAAGTTTATGGTTTGGAGGTCTGGATTATAGATCATTCCGTATAATGGACATCTGGATTATGAACTTTGTACTGTATAATATATAGCAGTAGTGGTCAACTTTCACACCTTTGAGGCTTTGTTTCTTAAATTTTGGGGTCATATGGTATTTTATATTTATTTAGCAAATATTTAGAAATATGTTTTAGTCAAACACTGGTTATTTTAGGGATGTGTGATATTAACTTTGCACAAAGATGGTTCTTAAATAGTTAGGAATTTGGGAATTTATAGAAATTAAGCCAGTAATACTCAATTTTATTAACTTTAGCCACTGCCTACAGAAAGACTTAATGAGCCTTATGTGGTTCATGAAGTCTTACTTTTGTTTTAGATGGCAACTACTGATACAAAGGATATACTTAAGACATTTTAATTCTACATCAATTCTTAAAATTTTAGTGCAGTGTGAAAGAACAAATATCATTGAATTATGAAAGGGAATGTATTGAACAATTTTAAAAGATTGCTGTGCTAGATTCAAGTTTAGTGTAGTGTTGAAGAACAATTATCTATGAACATAAGAATGATGAACAAATGCAGTATGATTTTTTTAATAATCTTGAATTTTGTAATATGAGATGATTAACTTGAATTAATAAGACATATTTAAAAAGCGGTAAAAATTCACGTGCTTACATACTTATATGCAAATTGGAAAATTTAGCGATTTTGTGTGCATCAGTTGAATTTTATAAAATATCTAATGAAAATGTTAATTTAAAATCTTGTTTACTCTTATATGGAAAATATATCATGTTTATTTTTAATGAAAGATGAATGTTCATTAAAAAATGAGCTGAGAATGTGTTCATTTACTTATAATTATAAATAAGAAAATGTGATTTTTTTTCAGCTTTATACATTTAAAAAATATTTTGTGTTAAAATTAACTATGCTGATGGTACTGCTGTAAGCTAATCTACTGTTTTAAGGAGGTTTATCATATACAGTAGAATCTCTTTTAACTGGCAGCAACAGAATCTCGCCGATTCTAAATGAGAAGTTTTTTTTTTTTTTTTTTTTTTTTTTTTTTTTTTTTATAATGGATGTATAGTTCTAGAAATTACCTGCTCTTGTTTTGTGATGCCATCTATCAAAATTGTAGCATGCGAAGTCTATTAATCGTATTTTATGATCTGTTGACAATTATTAAATAAGTAATAAAAAATTGTACAGATTATTTTAAATTAAAATGCATATACAAGATTTTTATATTTCAGGAGAAAAATTAATCTGTTTAGAATTATCGTATAGCTTATTACATGAAAGTTAATGAATTTCTTAGTCTGATGGCATTTAAGTTCGAATGTCTGCTTGCTAACAAGACTGTCACCATATTTACAAAAATCTACTGTGTGTATACAATGAAGCTTCAAAATATCCTTCACAAACATAGATGAACATTTCTCGGCAGATCTAGAGGAAATTTGTATTTCTGCATCAGCTTCTTTTCAAGTAACTCTTTTGCTCTGCATGTAGTCTTTATCTTCCCTTTCCTCCTCATTTTTCTCCTTCCCGAGTACAATTTTGATTATTTCATTGTCATTGCGAGGGAGTGTGACAAGAATAGAATTGTCTGTGTCCATCTCTTCTTCACTAAAGTCAGTCTACTCAAAACATGTAATTAAATACAAGATGTTGCACATAAGCACCATACTTATTTTAAAACCAACAAAATGTTCATCGCTTGATTCGCCATACATAAACACGATCACAGACAGCAGCTTACACCAACAGCAACATAAAGTAATATTCTTTACATTTTTTTTTTCAGCAGGAGACCTAATAAATATGGTGTCTTGAAATATGACTTGTTTTTTAAAGTCTTGAACAGTACTTCAAAGTTCACATATTGATGCATAAAAGAGGTCACAGTTCATCTTTATATTCTGGAAAACTTATTCTTTGCGTAAGGTTTAATACATTCGTCGGAAGAAATAAGAGGCAATTTTTTCCACGTAAAGTCTTCAGGTTTAAATTTAGTCCTTCAAATGTGCTGTTATTTTGATATTGTTAGTTAATTGAGTGCCAGTTACAAGGAATTTTATTGTATATTTAAATTTAGTATTTTTTCTGTTAGCAGGGTACAAAAGGGTTTCATAATGTTTAAGCTATTATCTCAATCAAGCAGTTGCATAGACTAACTTTTCTACTAATTTTACAAAAAAGGCATGCATCTGTTTCCTCCAATATACCAAAAGTTGCAGATTGCTCCATTTTCTAGGAATCACTTATTCCCATCATCATAGTCCAGAATGATAAGTCAAAATCAGCTTATCTGTACATTTAAAAAATTGTGTCAAACTGTTTGGTTGTCACAAACTTCTTAATGTGATATATTGGCTTTAGGAATGCAGAAAATGATAAATTGCCAATCATAGTCTCGTTTTAGGGGAGTTTTATATGAAGATATATATATTCACAATTTCTAAAAGAAGTTATATATTTAAGTAATTTTGTGTGTTCTTTTAAATAAAGTAAGCAATTATACATAGCAATTATAGTTTTCTCTTTGCAGTAAATATGATGATTTTTATTTTTACTTTGATAGGGTTCTTAAGTTAGCAAATTGTAGTGCTTTAAAAAATAGTACACGTGTTAATACATGATATATTTTCACCCTGCTAACACTTATCTTCAGGGATATGCCTCCTTGCAAAGTAATTTATAAATACATGATTATGCAATTATTTTAATTTCATCTCATTTTCACTGTCTTATCTGTCTGTACTAAAATTTTATAAGAATAAATATTTTTTTATAAATTATAAGGTGCTCATTTTGAGAGAAATTTTTTATGGATGAAAATTATTAAAACAGTTCTGCATGATTCAGTCAGTATAATAGTGTATTTTATAACAACTTTTTAACAAAAGAAAGTACACGCTTGTAATTAGTTACATGTGAATGTAGATCTATTCATATCTAACAAATTAGAATTGCAATAAATATTTAAAGCCTGTGATGTTCTCCTGTGGCGGTACATATTATCAGATATACATTGTAACATGTCTTTGTGTCAGTACTGGGGACCTATTTAGCCCTTATTTTTAAATATCCCCTCAAAAATCTAACAGCATTAGATCTTGCGATTTGGAAAGCCAGAATCATTTCAAAATGACTCTATCCCTAAAAATTTATTGCATGCCTTCCAGTGACTTGTGAGCTGTGTGTACAGTTGCAGCATCTTTTTGGGAGTACCCTTTATGATACTCTATGTCATCTAACTGCTCCCCAAATTCCTCCCAAAATAGTTCAATACAGTTCATTATTAACTATAATGTCTCTAAAGAATATTAGCCCCAAAATGCATTATCTTCAAAGGGCACACAAAAATCCACCTTTTACATCATGCTTTTGGCAGATTGCATGAGAGTTTTATTAATTCATGTAATCTGTTTATAGAGCCTCTGAGGTGCAACCATGCCTTATCATTGCAAAATATCCTATTCAGGGGCATATCCTAAATTTTTTCAAAAGACATACTGTTTAACACTGTTTTTTTTTTAATTACATAAATGTGTGGGAATTAATATACTTGTGTATGTATTTCAAAGTTGGTTGTACTATTTGTGCATTTTCTTGAATACTTGCATAGTATGTAAGATAATGGCATGCACATGATAAAAATTTTAAATTCACCAGCTTTGGGAACTCAGAGTGAAATTTTTTATGCTATTTTAAAATTAGTTAAGCCTGTTAATCAATTTTCTCATAGTCACAATTTAGTTTTTCGTAGCTTAGGATGACAACATTTTAATATTGATTCAGATATAATCAATCTGACATTATAATCAATTAGACAATTATATCAGTTTTTGATAATTTGACATTATAATCATATTTTTGACAATTTCCTAGTGGAAACCATCCATAGAAAGAGACATGTTGCACCAAGCTTTTTGAAATGTATCACTTTGGAGATCATTGTGGCTAGATATCCACATATTCAATCGCTGCACAATTTTACTGATGGTTCTCAGTTTGACTGTCATTTTAAGGGTGTTTTTGAATCTTTTTTTCTTTCTATGCATCTGCATACATTAGTACCTCTTTTGAAAGTGAAGTAGTAGCCATCTGTATAGTCCTACAACAATTATTAGCTATTCATTACAAGTTTGCACAGACATTTTTTCTGATTCTCATGTACGCATTTAATGAATTAGCTCTTTTGAACACCCATTAACATCCGAAATTTTGCAATGTCAAGAATTCCTTAGAACTCTCACTTTAAAGGTGAAACAAATCGTTCTCCAGTGGGCACCTGGTCTTTGGGGCAATGAACAAGAGGACTTAACTTGCAAAAAGAGGTGCCAGCTTAATACAACATCCTAATACAGCC